TCTAAGACTTAATATGTAAGTTGAGGGATCTTTCAAAGACTCGATATGTAAGTTGAGAGATCTTTCTAAGACTCGATATGTAATTTGAGGGATCTTTCTAAGACTTGATATTTAAGTTGAGGTATCTTTCTAAGACTCGATATGTAAGTTGTGGGATCTTTCTTAGACTCGATATGTAAGTTGAGGGATATTTCTAAGACTCGATATGTAAGTTGAGGTATCTTTCTAAGACTCTATATGTAAGTTGAGGGATCTTTCAAAGACTCGATATGTAAGTTGAGGGATATTTCTAAGACTCGATATGTAAGTTAAGGGATCTTTCTAAGACTCGATATGTAAGTTAAGGGATCTTTCTAAGACTCGAGATGTAAGTTGAGGGATCTTTCTTAGACTCGATATGTAAGTTGAGGCCTCTTTCTAAGACTTGATATGCAAGTTGAGGGATCTTTCTAAGACTCGAGATGTAAGTTGAGGGATCTTTCTTAGACTCGATATGTAAGTTGAGAGATCTTTCTAAGACTCGATATGTAATTTGAGGGATCTTTCTAAGACTCGATATGTAAGTTGAGGGATCTTTCTAAGACTTGATATGTAAGTTGCCCTTGGACATAAGTTGTGCATGTTTATTTTTTGGGAATGATTGGGTAAACAAAATGGCCGATAGACAGACAGTCATCTTGGATTTTGACAATTAAAGTTTGTTATCGCTATTTCTCAGAAAGTACCGGGGGGGGGGGGGGGGGGGGGGNGGGGGGGCTCTTTTTTCAAATTTGTTATGTAGGTTTCATTTGGTTTTTAGTCGGGCATGTTTTCTTTTGAGACTAATCGACAAATTGGCCGACAGGCGGCGATCTTGGATTTTGACAGTTAATATTTGTTATCGCTAATTATCATTAAGTACTACGCATAAATAATCTTCCTCAAATTCAATGTGTATGTTTTACTTTCGGGACTGATTGGAGAGTAAAATGTCTGAAAGGTTGCCATATTGGATTTTGACAGTCAAGTTCTGTTGTCTATATTGGAAGGATCTTTCTCATATTGTATATGTATGTTCCCCTTCTTTTCAATATCCCTGGCAATAATGGTAATCGATCCTCACAGACAGCACTTCTAAGTATGAAATAATTACAAAGTTTCAGCATTTTCATATAGTGATGCAATTCTTATACAATAACATTTACCATAGTGGCAAATGACATACGACATTACGAGGTTAAAGTTAATGTACAATTTACAAGATTCCCATATGAGTTTTGTATAACGTGGGACTGGGAAATAGTATGTAAAAGGAAAATGAAGAGGAATTAAATTAGAAGATCATCTTTTGTGGATCTAATAAAGATCATTTCGTGATTGACGACAAGATCCCCCAATGATCTTGTTTTTAAATTATACATAATACACGTTAGATACATGTATTTACTTATCTCTCGATATTGAGGTTTTGTACTGCACATGATTAAAAGGCCATTCCAAAGACAATGATGATCAGTTTGGAGATAAAAATAGAACTCAATTGTGCAAAACAAACCTGCTCAGTACTTGGTAAGGCCTATATCTCGCCCTTTTTTAATGGTGTGCCAATCTATAAACGTGAAACAGGACACCCAGGAGGAAACTGTCAATCTGAAATCCTTTGTAATTCCAGCCTCCACTCCTCCAATGTAAACATTTTTTTCTGAAATGAACTTCCGGTAGAGTAGGTGGTATGATACACGGATATGTCTCACACCTGGGACTGATTTTAGTGAATGCAATAAATCTACCATTTCAATTGGATTCGTGTCTTTGTATAGTACATCGTTTTCATAAAATGCCTGTGTAATGGAAAAGTGTTTTTTTTCTTCAGGTATTTGTTTTTACAACATTATTGTTATTACTTATTTGAGAAGATTTAATTTTCAAAAACATTTTTAGTTTTATTTATTAACCTTTTGTTTTACATCAAATATGAAAAAAAATATTCCAACTTATATAAATCACTCTTGATGGTCAGGATGTTAGCGCGCGGGGGGTCTTATTGTAGAAGAAAACCGGAGTACCTGGAGAAACCCTATGTGGTTGGATAGGTGACCCCATACCTTTTCTCCCCGGCCGCTTTGGTGAAAGGCAACTGCGCTATCCACTACACCATCCGACCACCGTAGTGTTTAGTTATTACCATGTTACACTGACGAACGGAAAAGCAAAGAAGTTCCTTCCCAGAATACATTCTAATGGGGGCATATAGAAGCCAAATATCGTAACTGAAAAATGTTAACTTCTACGAAGTGAATATTACCAGAAACAACAGCTTTTCAGGTTTGAAATGGACACCTATATCTGCTGTCTGGTAAGGCCACCATCTTGAAAGAGTTACCTTTTTGGCAGTGGTATGGGGTCCTAAATGAAACTTGATACACATTTAAGCCGCTAGACAATGGTTCAGGTACCGCCTTCCTGACCCCCAATCAAGATCACAATAAAGATTCTTCATTTTTTACAGCGTATTTGTTTCCGTCTGTTTCCACAACTTTTGAACGCATTTATTCTTTGATACAACAAACCATATACGTTACATGGGTATAAAAATATGCGAAAAGATCGTATCTTCATTTAACCTTGAAACAGCTGTTGTTTGGAGGATGCCCCCCCCCCCCCCCCCCCCA